CTGTCTCTCTGTCTCTCTCTGTCTGTCTGGTGAGTGCACGCACCCTATAGCAAAAATCTCTCTCTCAAAAAAATAAAAAAGTCTCTAGAATATAAATCAAGTCACCCACCTGCCACCTTCAGTTCCAAGTTGGCCTCCTCGTAGAATCCTCCGTTCCTGAAGACGCAGGTGTACAGCCCGTCGTCAGAAACCTGGACATTGTGGATGCGCACGGCAGCCTCCCCCTGGGCAAAGAAGTCCCTCACCAGCGAGGTCCGCCCTGCGTACTGGGCCATCTGCTCCTCCTTCTGCTCCTGTTGGTCTCGAAAGCTGAGCACCACTTCCGAGAACTCGGTGCGGAACCACCGCTGTTCCATAGTCACTGCGTTCATGGGTGGGGACAGGGAGCAGGACAGAGTGGCATCTCCACCCAGCACTGCCACAACAGGGTCCCAGGGGCCAGTGACCACGAACTCATCTGTGGACACAGACATGGGAGTGAGAAGGTGATGAGACACAGGTCACGGGACAGAGAGCACACACTACAAGTTGGGGGGGCCAGGCAGGCCGGGGGCAGATGCTGGCTGACGGGACCCTACAAGACCTGATGGACTGAGCCGGGATGACGCTGACCCTGGTGAGATCTTCTGACCACAGTAACAGGGCCCAAAAATGACTTTAAAGACTCCTCAAAGGCCTGTGCTCCTGGCCCAGGCCCTTCCATGAAGGACTCTAACCCAGAGGTCTCACACTGAGCTTGTACCCACAGGACCTTGTAAAACAGACTGCTGCGCGTCTTCCCCAGAGCTGCTGGTTAGGTAGGTCAAGGTGGGCCCAAGAATGTGCATTTCTAAGGGGTTCCCAAGGAAGGAGATGCTGTTTGTCCAAGGACCACACTTTGAGAACCGCAGTTGTAACCTGGTCTTGCCTCCAGGAGAGCCTGAGAACTCACCCAAGAGCATACCCGTGGCCTAGGGCAGAACTCTGACTGTGCAGCCACACCCAGGAAATCCACACTCCCACTTCTAAATTCCTTTGTCCATATTTTTCTCCTTCACTGAAATTTATGTGCAGTTAAAACCGAAATCGAAAGCTGTTTCCATTAAAAACCTGTCTTCCCTGGAGCCAGCAGTTGGCATGGTAGTTAAGGCACCGCATCCCACATGGCCAACTCCACAGTTCGAGTACCAGGTGTGTGTGCCTGTGTGCCCATAATCCCAAGAAGAGAATGGAGAAGAGACTGTGGCATGACCTTTCCCCGTGGAGAATGACTTCTTACTTTCACTCTCTCTGTCTCTCCAGTGAACACACGTGCCCTATGGCAAAATTCTGAAAAGAAAAACAAACAAACAAACAAAAAACTATCCTTCCTCCCATCTCTCAAAAGAGCCCCAATCACTGCTTGTAAAAGAAAAATAATTTGACTGCACTCCCGCCTTCTTCGTCCTGGTAGACGGGACATAACAGGACTCCCTGAGAGCTCTGGGCCTCCGGAGAGCTACCTGTCACCCTGTGTGTGCTGTGCACCCGGCCCGAGCACCAGGAGGACAGCAGCACACGAGCCTCCCCGCCTGTCCTCTCCCGGCCACCACGTCTGTTATTCTTCGATCATATATGAGCTAATCCACATCCCTGCTCTGTTCAAAACCCTCTGTGGCCTGTAGGCTCACGACCTCTCTGGCCCCAGCTCCTTCTCCCCCCGTCTGTCTATTCCAGCAGCATTTGTTCCCCTCTCTCTGCTGCTCCCCGACACCCCAGCCAGGCATAGCCAGGTACCCTGCCAGCTTCACCCTGGCTAATCCCCACTGTGGGAGCCGTCT